CTCCCTTCTCTGCAAGTCCTTGTCACTGGGTGTCGTCATTCCTGCCCAGCCTTTCCTTGGGCCAGGCAAGGGTTTCAGGGGACCCTCAGGAAGGTGGTGGGGGAGCCTTCCCACGGCCTGAGCGTCGTGTGGGTCCTGCCGTGAAGTCCTAGCTGGAGCCACCTGGGATTCCACTGGGGATGCTCCTGGCAGCTGCCGCCTTTGGCTTCGTCCTTTCTGCCCGGTCGGTTTCACTCGGTGCCTTCCCAGTCCCCGGGAACAAGCAGGGCATGGCCGTGGGCCACGGCTGCACGGTGCCCAGCGGAGCCAGGCTGGCCTCAGCAGGAGACTCGCTTCTCCCACTAGTCATTTTCAGTCTGCCAGCTCCTTCCTCGCCTCCCTGGGGGTGGCCTGCCTGGGTGACCACGGATGCCTGCCTTCCCCAGGATGGGCTGGCTCTGTGGGTGGGGCTGGATGGCTCCCCATGGCAGCCACCCTCACACCGGGCTTCTGGATGCCTCCCCCTGGCAACCTGTCTCCTACCAGGCTTCACTTCCCCATTCCTGCAGCCCAGCAGGGCTAAAGCTACCCACCCCTGAGCTTCCTCAGAACTTTCACCCTGAGAACCTGCCCGTCCCGCAGGGGACTGAACTGGGCCCAGAGTGGCTCTGGGTGTTGTCCTGCGCCCCTATGTGGGGGCTGCAGAAGCCAGAGCAGGAAGGAAAGGCTTCTCAGCAAGGGTGCTGGCGGCCCGGGCACCAGGTCACTTCAAAGGCAATCCTTCTTTGCTTCCTCCTCCCGGCGGGGGTTCAGCCCCAAGGCCTGCCGAGGCTGTGAGTGCAATGCCAGGCTTAGCAGGGGGAACACGGGGAGCCCTGCCACATTCCAGTTCCAGATCAACCACAGTCAGTGTCCCTGTGCTGTGCAGTTAGATGTGAACTTCAGATTCAGGCCAACAGCTGGGCATCCTGCAGTTTCTTCACCACCCGCTGCAGAGTCAGGCCGTGAAGGGGGGGTCACGGGGGCGGGCACGGCTCTGGGAGTCAGGATGCCCGCTTGTCCTGCATGGTGAGCATCGCCGCTCCATCCTGAAGCCCAGACTGCCCACTTCAGCACGGAAGTGGCTTTCCCACAGAGGCGCCCGCACAAAGGGCGTCTGGTCTCGGGCGGCGGGACTGTCTGAGAGCCTGGCTCCCGCGGTTCCCCCTGTCCACTGAGGACCTGGACCAGGCGTGGCCGAGCTTGCTCAGACCACACACCGGTGCCAAGCACATCTTCTCAAGCCCACTCTTCTGCGCCCGCACCTGAGCCTGAGCGGGCCTGGCAGGTTCGTGGGGCACCTTGGCTGAGTCGGGCCACCCTGTCCTGGAGAGAAAGGCCCGTTTCCCGCCGCAGAAGGGTGTCCTTCCCGGAGCGCCCCAGGTGCTGCTGGTGGGTGTGGACCTCGGCTGTAGGCTGCCATCTTGGCTCTTTGGCGTCCCTGAGGCTGCACAGACTGTGCCCGTGTTCCCGAACAGGTGGCTGGGCTGGGGGGTGGGGGGTGTGAGTGCAGGGTCAGGCCGGCAGCGTCCTGGCAGGGCTCCTGGCATGTGGTGGTGTGGGGGCTGCTGACCATGGCTGGCTGAGGAATGGCCACCCCCTAGTCCACAGAACCTGTGAACAGGACCTTATGAAGCACAGGGAGAGTGTCGCCTGATGCGGTAACAGGCTGAATTTCGGGTGAAGTGAGGCCTGTGGGACGAGGAGATTATCCGAGATGCTCTCCCCAGTGCCCCTGTAAGCGAAGCAGGAAGACCTAGCACAGCTGCCCCAGGAGAGGACCACGTGAGAATGGAGGCCACGGACATGGAGAGATGTGGCCAAGGGATGTGGCTGCCCCTGGAGCTGGGAGCCTCCGCAGGAGCTCAGCCACGCAGCACGGTGCCCTCAGGCGTCCGGCCTCCGGAGTCGTGAGCATTCCTTCTGTCATTTTACATCCGCCGCGGTCCCTGGAAGCCCGGAAACATGCCCGCACCATGGGCTGCAGCTGCGCCGAGCCCCCACAGCTCAGGCTGTGCCCCTGGTGCCTCGCCCAAGGCTCAGCCCCAGGACTCTGTTCAGGCCGGAATGCCTCCTTCCCGCCCCGCCTTTCCCAGCACATCTGGGACTTCCTGAAATACAGGATCCAAGCGCCGGCCTGCGCTCCGCTCCACGGAGACTGAATCAACAGCCATCTGAGCGTTGCGGTTGCCCCGGGTGCCAAGGGGCCCCTTCGTGAGTTGCCGAGGCCCCGTGGCACTGTCTGACCTCTCTGACCCTTCCCACCCTGACCACACTGCCCTCCTGGGGTCAGAGTTGGGGTCCGGGGTGCACTGTGGCTGGTGCTGCCTGCGGGCCTCTGGAGCACTTGGCCCCTTTGTGGCAAAGCTGCCCGGCTGTCCAGGGAAGGCGCCAGCATCCCCTCCGTCAGCAGTCGCTCTCCTCTCTCTGCCAAGGGCAGGTCCAGCTTCCCAGGGATTTCCTGGTGCGGTCACATGCTCCTGTGCGCCAGGCGGCTCTCCAGCCACAGCAAGCTCACCATGCCATTCACCGCCCCCCAGAGGGGCCAACTCTGACCTCAGCTGGGCACAGATGCAGACAGCGGGGTCCCTTGGGGCATCCAGCTGGGTTCAGCTCAGGAACTGGCCGGAGCCAGTGAAGGTCAGGACAGGGCAGTGGCCGGAACTGAGAAGGGGGCAGCCAGGTGGAATCTCCTGCCGAGGGGGGGCCCTGGAATCCCCTGGCCTTGTGCCCCTTGGTATTGACAGCAGTGGGAGAGGGGTTTTAGGGGCAAAGGAGGATGCCCAGCCTGGAGCTGCCCTGAGGGAGAGCGGCCTGCCTGTGGCCATGGAGGGAGCAGCTTGGCGGCTGAGGAGCCCAGCACTTCTCATGGCTCAGCCTGGGCACTTTGGGTAGATTGGGGGGGTCTCCTGGGCGAATTCAGATCACTGGGAGGTTTCTGGGTGGTTGAGCTGGGACACTAGAGGGGTCATCAAATCACAGATGTTGAAGACATGTCTCAGACAGGCAGACAAGCTCCCTGGGCGGCTGTGGCCGAGGCTGAGGGGCAGGACAGGGCTCTCCAGGATGCAGGGTCCGGCTGCCCTGCAGCAGTGCCCACCTCCCTGCAGGCCAGAGGCCGGTGGCACACGGCTGCGCGTGGGGACCCAGGCAGGCCGTGGGTGAAGGCCCAGGACAAATGCGTCCTTGAACCTGAACGGCCGCCCTGGTGAGGCGCACACATGCTCCAAGCAGCTCCAGAGAACAGGAGTGGGCCAGGCTGGGGGCTGAAAAGCTGTCTCACCTGACTGTGGGCTGCCTTGTGAGGTGGTGAGCTCCCTGTCCTGGGAGGCGTGGAAGCGGAGACCCGCTTACTGGGCTGCAGCCCCTCACAGAAACTTCCCAGCACCAGGAAGTGAGTGGCCCCTGCCCCCTGCCCCACCCCTCCTGGGGTCCTGGTTCCGGCCACAGCTCTGAGTCAGGTGCAGCCGCTCCCCGGGGGGTGAGAGGCCTGCATGTGGCGGCATCGTGTGGGGCTGTCTGTACGTTCACTGTTTGCAGACACCCCTGCGGCCTAGCACCCGTGCACACGGCCAGCTGGCAGTGCCAAGGGGTAGTGGGGCGGCTCCCTGCGGGTTGGGACTTGCAGGGCTCTGCAATGGGAGGCGGGCGGGGCCTGCAGGGTGCCTGGCGCAGGTGCTGGAGGGGGATGGTGGGGCGAGGTGGAGCCTCGGAGCCTGCTTCTCTCCGCAGCTAGATGAGCTCCAGCTCCCAGGCAGGCGGGTGCCAGCTCCTCTCAGGTTGGAGGCAGGGTGGGGCGGTGTGGTGGGGACGGGCAGCCCAGGGCCCCAGGCCCAGATGGCTGGACACGCAGCTGGCTCAGAGGCAGGAGTCACTCCCGAGCTGCAGCCTGTGCAAGTATCAGGCGTCGTCTTTTAAGCAGGTATCTCGGGAACACTGCAGACTTGGCCTCCGGGTTCCCCCCTTCCAGGCAGCCGTAGAGAGGCCGGGGCTCCCCCGCAGCCACCGCCCCGCCCCCTTTCTCACTGGCACGGGGTGCCTTGTGCTCCCTCCCATCTGGCAGGGAGGCTGGGGCAGGGGGGCTTGACCCAGAGACCTGGCCCTGGGCTGGGGACAGTGTGGGCGGAGGCCCATCGGGCACCCACACAGGCTCCCCTCCCAGGGATGGGCAGGCCAGCCGCAGAATTCCTCCCGGGACCCCGAGCCTGGCTGGGACAGGAGCCTGCCTTAGGCCCAAGATGAGAGAGCTCTTCCGACGGGAGGGAGGAGGGCCTTCACCGAGCCCAGCCTCCGCCTGCCCCAGCCCCTGTGACATTCCCAATTGCTGGGGACTGACTCACCCCCACTTCAGCAGCCTTAAATAGTTCAGGTATTTCACCTGCTGGCAGTACCATCGCTCTGGCATTCTGCTCTGCGGGGAGCCGAGGCCCCACCTGCCGACCCAAGGCTCACGGGGCAGCCGCCTCCTCCTAGCCCACCTGCGCTGGGGTCCTCCTCGGGGGCCACCGGCCCTCGCCCGCCACTGCCGACGGGATGCCCGCCCCCGCCGCCCCCGCCGCAGCCACGGCTGTACAGGTGCCCCTGTGGCACCACTATCTGCAGGCCATCCGGTCCCGGGGGGCACCACGTGCTCAGGACTTCCAGCGCGCAGAGGACGTGCTGCTCACGGTGCTGGAGCGCGTGCACGCCCTGGACCCCCGCTTCGTCGTGGACTACTCCCGAGGCCTGGAGGCCTTTCAGTTCGCCCTGCGCTCCTCCGAGGACCCGCTGGACATGCAGGTGCCCCTGTGGGTGGACGCCGAGGCTCTGCTGATCGAGGAGCCAGAGGCCGCCCAGCCGGGGGATGGCCCCGAGTTATGCCGCCTGGGTGTGCCCAGGGAAGGGGCCGGCCTGGAGCGGTGGACCACCGACGACATCTTCACTGCCTCCTCGGAGGGGGACGCCAGGTGCCGTGGACACATTGTGCCCAGCAAGGTCCTGTGTGTCCTCAGGGACCTGCTGGTGGCGGCCATCGTCCACTGCAAGCACCACAGCCTCATCGCGCCAGGTAGCAGGCGAGGCCCGGTCCACAGGTGTCTGTGCGTGAGCGGCTGCTGGGTGGGGCTCACGGAGCCGCTCCTGCCCGCTGAGGGTGTCTGTGTGCAAGCGTGTGAGTGGTGCCTCCCGCGCACAGGGTGGCAACGTCCTCTGTGGTGACTGCACGCGCAGGCGTGTGTGCACGTGTGTGATCAGTGTGCGCTGGGGCATGGAAGTCGGGAGACCTCACTGAGGTCCTCCAGCTCCAAATGCCCCTGAGAAGAGTGATGCTGTGTCCGGAGTCATGTGTGTCTGCCCTGGGGTTTCCACGGAGCCACTCCTTCAGTGGCTGGAGTCTGGGGCAGCCGCTTCGCTGGCAGACTTCCAGGAGGGTCTCCCACTCGGCTCTGGGCAGGTGGCTCTGGTACCAGTCATGGCCTGTGACTTTGAGGCTATCACATCCCCACTTCCAGTGCTGGTCACGTGGTATCGGGAGGAGGGGTGTGTGTGCCTGCCCGTGTGCACGAGTGCAAGGGCGTGAATGCGTGTGTGTGTGTGTGTGTGTCTTATCAGCTTACGGCTGAGCTGCCTGTTGGTGTCTTGAGCCCGAAGTAGGCTCTGAAGTTTCCAAGCAGGCAGGAGCTGGCCTCAGTCTTCCTCGAAGGCCTTGCTGATACAATCCAGGGTGAGCCTGAGCCCAGGGCTCCTTCCGCAGGGCTGCCTGGACTTCAAGGGTGGCTGGGAGGACAGGGCTTGGCCCGTGCAGGGGTCAGGATGACAGGGACCCTGAGTGGTGCAGCCATCCTCCGGGGGCTCAGATTGTCCTGGAGAGGAACTGGGGACCGGAACAGAATGTCCTGCTTCCCTTGGGAGGGGATCACGTGAGTCATCCCAGTCCTCACGGGGCTTTGTTGCCTTGAGTCACCTCCCCAGTATTTCTCTGACCCTGGTGTCCACCATGAGGTCAGTGGGTGGGGTGGTCAGCTCGCCTTCCCGAGAGGCCGTGACCTGCAGAGGGCTGCCCTGCCCTGGGGCCCGCCTGGAGGCAGGGCACCGTCTGTGGGTTCTCGGGGAGGGTGTGCTGCCGCCACGCACAGCCAGGCCTCCTGTCTGCGCCAGAGGGCCCGGACGGTGGATTCGAACAGAAGCCTCCCCAGAGCTGTCTGGTGTCCTGGGGTGAATGATGGGCCTGACTTCGGCGTGTCAGCCTCTGGTGCTCCCGGCAAGCCTTCCCCCTGCCCCGACCCCAGCATCTTCTGAACCTCTAATCACGCCGGCCGTGGCGTGGGGATTTGTGTCTTCTTTCCTGAAGTCACCTGGTCCTGTCCGCTGCGGCCTAATGCCCACCTGGGAGATGGGGCTACCCTTTGGGGTGAGCAGGAGGCCCTGCCAGGCGCTGGCTCGTTAGGATTCAGTCTGAGCTGCTCACACCCCAGAGTGTGCCCTGGGGAAGCAGACCCGATACTGCAGGCCGCGCCCACGGCCCCGAAGCCGCGCTGGGCTGGGTGGCAGGGACATTCCGGGCGTTGCTTCCTGACACTTACCTTAAAAGGGAGGCGGCAGCAGCCCAGGTGACGGGGTCAGGCTGCCCCCACCCTGGGAACCGGTGAGGCCAGCCTGGGGCTGGTGCAGGCGTGGCTGCCTTCCAGGCCGCCTGGTCAAAGGCAGGAGTGTGTGTGGCCGGGCAGACGAGGTGTGTGGCCCCCAGAGGCGGCTCTGACTGGCTGCATGGAGGGGCCCCTCCTTCTCTCTCACCGCCGAGGAATGGGCTGCCTGGGCGGCAGGGCCAGGGTTGCCCTGGGGTGGGTTCCAGAGGGGTTCCCAGAGCTGCCCGACAGGAGATTGTGGGTGCTGAGGCTCCACACAGCGGGGCCAGGCTCTCTCCGGAAGGGCGGTGGGATGGTGGGAACGCAGGCCCTGTGCTCACTCACGAGGGGGCCGTTCCCAAGGCACAGGCCAGGATTCCCAGGGACACGCCAGCTGCCTGGGCCAGCCCCTCTGACCCTGCACCCTGGCCAGGCAGCCTGGGGAGGGGAGGGGCGGCCTCTCCCCCGCCCTGGGCCTGTGTTGGGCAGGGCTGTGCAGTTGCCTGCACTCACCCTGAGTGTTCCGTCACCCTCCTCACCCTCCTCACTCTCAGGTATTTGTTTTGGGGGCGGGTAGGGCGCCTGTGGCAGAGGCTAGAGAGCCTGGGACTGGCCAGAACCCCCAGCCCCAGCCCCATCACGCCCTGGAAGGGCCCCTCCGGGGCTCTGAGCTCCGAGTTAGGGAAGAGGGCACTGCGTTGGGCCTGGGGTGGGGTCTGAGTAAGGAGTGGAGTGGCAAGCTCTTGACCAGAGTGTGCCGCCTGTGGGGTGACAGAGGCCATGGGGCTCTCGGGCAAGGGCTCTCTGGGAAGCGCGGGACTCAGGCCTGGTCAGGAGGAGCGGCTGGGCTCGGGCGCTGTGAGCCTGCTGGCCTGGGCAGCCCAGAAAGCAGGTGGCCGAGCCGGGTCGCTGCCGCCAGCCGCTGTGGCCTCGTCTCTCCACGGGAACTGAGCCTGGCCTGGGCCTGTCCCTCCCTCTGCGCAGCTGCCCCCATCGTGTGGACTGGTCCCCTAGACCCGGGTGCCACATGGCTTCCTGTGCACGCAGTGGTTTGAGTGGCAGGGGGCTCTCGGGAAGCTTCCAGGGGTGGGGGAACGGGGGAGAAGCTCTGGGAAAGAGAGGCCCAGCCTGGCTTCACCCTCTCCAGCTCTGGGGGGCGGTGGGGGGGAGCCCTGCTGGCCCCAGCCTGGGCTGTTCGTGCCTCCTTCCCGAAGGCAGCAGAGAAGCCCGGCCGCTGTCAGCAGGTGGGAGGCCTGGGGCTTTGGTACTAGTGCTGGGGCAAAGCGGGCAGGCTCAGGAAGGCCTGGGTGGGCACAGCAGGCAGGGCCCTGGGGTGGGGTGAGGGCAGTGCCTGGGGAAGGAAGACCTCACATAAGACGCTGCTGTCTTCACTGACAGTTGTGCCCAGGACTGTCACTGCTGGGCAGGCATGCTGGCCAGCTCCTCACTCAGCTGAGGTCCAGGGATGGACACAGGTATCCAAGGTTGGGGCGCTGCAGCCTGCAGGTGGGGGCCAGCAGAGAAGGCTGCAGGGGAGAGGTGACGAGGGGCAGGGGCCAGGTCGGCAGCAGGAGGGGCCGGGGGAGTGTCTTGGGCAGGGAGGCAGGTCGAGGGGCCGGCGTGACCTGGGTCTTTGCAGGTTCGCTGAACGCGGCCAGCCTGAGGGAGGAGCGGCTACACCTGTCCTTGCTGGTGTCCAGCGGCTGGAGGACGATCAGCTTCCACGTGGTGCCGGTGGTGAGAAGGAGGCGTGGGGTTCCTGCACTGGAGGGGGCCCAGCAGATGCCTGGACTCCCTGAGGGCAGCCTGAGAAGGGTCCTCAGCCAAGGGGTGGACCTGGTGCCGGCCAGCGCCCAGCTCTGGAGGTAGGCTCGCCCTCCTGGTCACAAGGTTCTCGGGGAGCAGGCAGGAAGGGGCCAGCACCCCGATGCTGCCTCGGCCCCAGTCAGGAGGATCTGCAGGGCCCTCTGCCTGTCTCTGCTCCCATGGGCATTCGTGTTCCCCTGAGATTGCTGGGGTCTCTCGCTGCAGGGAGGGTGGAAATGTGTCCTCTCCTGAGTGGGAAGGGGGCTGGTGGCATCTGATGCTGGGTGATGAGAGACCCTGCCCTAGATGGGACCTTTCATTACCCAGCTTTTGCTTGGGGCAGGAAAGTCGCTGAGAGGTCAGGCAGCCCATCCAGGCAGCGCGGGTTCCCAGAGAAGCTGGGAGGGTCCCCACACAGTCGGTGTGCATCCACATTGGTATCTGTGAGAGGGAGGAAAGGGGCACTGGGCAGAGGCAGAGCTCCCCTCAAGACCCCTAGGAGACGGCCAGGGACCGCGCCCCATCCAGATCCCACATCGCTGCAGCAGCTCCTGGGCTGGCTCACCCCTGCCCCCCACTTGCTGGAAGGATGGTTGGAGCCACGCTCTCTCAGGGGAGGGCTTTGCAAAGCTGTCATGCCCCTCCTGTGGTTTTCTCCTGCAAGGAAAGACTCAGTGGAGCACCAGTGACCTCCCACCCCGCCCTGCGTTCCCGCTGACCCCTGAGCATGGAGTGGGGGTGGCATCAAGGCTTGTGGAATAGCTTCCCGCCTGCCCAGGAAGGGGAAGGGCTGGGCTGGGCAGAGTCATCTTTGCAAGTAAAAGGGAGAATTTGGTGCCCCATGTCCTGCAGACTTGGGAGGGGGACACGGCGCGTGACTGTCCCTGTTGCAGCTCCGTGAAGGTTGCGGTGCCAGGCCCCACCCCAAGCCCATCTAGCATGTGCACAGCAAGCCCCCTGGTGTGAGCTGCTCTGAGTTACGGGTCTGGGTGGTATGGGAGTGGGAAGCAGAGATTCGGAGCCCCTTGTGTGGCTGCCCCTGGAGGCTGCTGCCCTGGGCTTCCGGAAGGGGCTGTGGGCAGAGCTGTCACACCCCCGGGCTGGGTGGCTGTGACCTGGGCAGGCCTGAGAGGCACCTTCCCGTCTGCACAAAGCGCGGGGATGGCCCGGAGGCTCCTACGCCCCCGAACCAGAGCCAGGGAGTCTCCATGAAAACCAGGCGTGCACTGCACAGCCGGTGACCGTGGCTCCTGAGAAGCCTGGGGTCTGGGCCGGGTCCCACCCGCAGGCACAGCACAGCACGGCCCCAGCCCGGGCCTGAGCCTCCGGGGCTCAGAGCTCCCCACACTGGGGGCCGGCAGCAGCAGGGACTGACCCAGTGTGTCTGTCTGGGCCCCAGGACCTCCACTGACTACCTGCTCACCAGGCTGCTGGGGGAGCTGGGCTCCCTGCAGGGCCATCGCCTGGACAGTCTCTCCGTCCTCGACCGGGTGAACCACGAGAGCTGGCGAGACGGTGGCCAGACCGACGGCCTGACCTTCGGCCACCTGAAGGTAACGGGCGGGGCTCTGCAGGGTGTCCATCACTGGGGCCCTGGGGTAGGTGCACCTGGGTGTGTCCCTCCTGCCAGCCCTGATGGCGGGCAGCTGGAGTCAGGAGCATTCTGAGGACCTGCCCAGGTTCTGAGGAGGTGAAGACGTGGCTCGTGAGGGTGGTGGGGATGTGGCCGCAGGGGCCGTGGTCCCGCCGGCCGGCCTTTGCCATTCCTGGGTCTTGACCTCCGAGGCCCTCCTGGCTTGGGACGCTGTTGGGAAGAGCCTCAGGGAGGGGCCTCCCAGAGCTGGGTGTTCCTGCCCAGTGAGCCTCCTCCCAGCGTCTGGGAATGTCACCCGGCAGGGACGCCTCCCTCTGGGGGTTCCCAGGAGAGTCCAGGCCCCGCTGCCGACCGCTTCCTGGGCTGCAGAGAGATTCTGGCACAACTGTGTCCTCCTGGAGCTTTGTAACATCAATGCTGAGGACAAGGAACAGGCAGGGCCGGGACTCCGGCCCCCCCCAACCCCGGGAAGCAGGTGGGGCTACGCTGTCCTGGGGTCTCGGCTCGGCTGACTCCTCTCTGGAGTATGTGGCCGACTGGGCACTGCTGCATGGCTGGGGCTGGCCTCTTCACCTGGCTCCGTGTTGACGGAGAGGTGCCCTCCTGGTGTCGGGGGTACCCCGGTGGCTTCTGGCCTTGCTCCTCAGGCTTCCTCCTGACCTGCCGCTTTCAGCGTCCCTTGAGGCGGGATGTACGGTGGTTCCCAACCCCAAACTCAACCGCAGGGTGCAGGGGCAGTGGAAGAGGAGGGCTTGAAAAGCCCCTGTGAGCCAGGGCCTGGGGCGGCTGCAGGCAGCGCGGGTCTTGTGGTTCGGGCCAGGGGTGGTGAGCACACAGACCGTCACCGTGACAATGCCATGGGCCTGCTGGGTTGGGCTGCAGGGGTGAGTAGGAGCTCAAAGGGGCCAAGGAAATGAGAGAAAGGCCCAGAGGTTGCTGGGAGCCGCAGAGGCCCCCAAGGGAGGTCCCGGGGGGTGAAGACGGGGGCTGGGGATGGGACCCCAGGGTCAGGGCCAGGCAGGAGAGGAGAGAGGGGGGTTTCCTGCCTTTGGGAGCCAGCAGGCTGGGGCAGCCGGTGGGAGGGGCCAGGGACTCCAACTGGGACGTGGAGAGGAGGCCGCAGGGTAGGGAGAGGGGCGGGTGGGGGAGCGGGGGGGGGCCGCCGGGGTTGGAGGGGGGCGCAGGCCGCGCCGGCCGGGCGGAGGCTGACCCCGCTGTCCCGCAGACGGCGCTGCTGTGGGCCTGCGCGCTCTTCCCGGCGCCCGAGGACTGGGCGGAGCTGCAGGGCGCCGTGTACCGCGTGCTCGTGGTGCTGCTGTGCTGCCTGGCCACGCGGAGGCTGCCCCACTTCCTCCACCCGCAGCGCAACCTGCTGCAGGGCAGCGGCCTGGACCTGGGCGCCGTCTACCAGCGCGCGGAGGGCTTCGCCAGCCAGCCCGAGGCCGCCCTGCGCATCCACGCCACCCACCTGGGCCGCAGCCCCCCGCCGCGCGTCGCCTCCGGGCTCAAGGCGCTCCTGCAGCTGCCGGCCAGCGACCCCGCCTACTGGGCCACCGCCTACTTCGACGTCCTGCTGGACAAGGTGGGTGCTGGCCGTGCGGGCCTTGGGCCGGCCCAGGGGCGCGGGAGGGTGGGGACGCAGCCCGGGCCCAGCTCCCCGCCCACTCTCTCCTGGAGCGGGGGCCCCAGGAATGCTGAGGCCAGATCAGGGCTCCATGGATGGCGTCTGTGGGGACGTGTGATATGTGGGGATCACATGGGCCGTGGGAGTCCCCTTGCTGGTGGCCTCACAGGGCCCGGACCTGCTCCCTGGAACCAGGGCAGCCAGTCTGAGCCTGCCTCCGTTTCCCACCAGAGCTGTCCCCCCTCCCCACCCCACACTCAGTAAGCCCTCAGAGGCCCAGCTGCCTACCCCGGAGCTCCATTCCTCATGAAGGGCTCTGACCTTACCTGGGTCTCCCTGGACTCAGGAATCCACAGCCATGCCCCTCGAGACCCTGTGTCCCCTGGGCCACTTCTCATGGGTGCCTGGAGGCCCCAGCAGCTGCCCCACCCTGTGCCCCAGGCTCTGCCACCTCTGCCGAGGAGCCTGCCCAGGGTCCACCCTGCTCCTTGCCCAGGGCCCAGCTCTCACCCCGATCCCAGGAGCAAACACGGCCTCCTCCCAGGGCACACCGGGAGTTTCTCCGCCACCCTCCCCATGTCCTGGTGGCGGTGAGGTCCCAGAACAGTCGCTCTTTGCTGCGGGTCTCTCGTCCTATTCCAGCAAACTCCTGCCTGTTGAGATGCTGATGGCTCTGGGGTCTCCTCCCCTGCCTGACACTTAAGAATGTTACCCCAGAGCCGGGAGATGGGGGGCAAGGGCTGTGCTCTGAGCTCTCAGTGGACCTGTGTGGGCAGGGGCGGGGGCAGGGTGGTCACCGGAGGCAGCCTTCAAGCAGCACCCGTGGGGCCTCCTCTGTGCAGGCCCAGGCCAGGGACACCTGTCTGTGATGTGGGGATTGCGGAGGAGCGGAGGCTGGGGGATGCCTGTGCCGGCAGATACCTGGGGCAGGAGGGCCAGTTGTTCCACGATGTGCTCTCGGCCCTGAGAGCTTATAACGGACTCCAGGGGTCCCGCTAACCCTTCTCCCCGAACCTGCCTGCAGTTCCAGGTCTTCAACATCCAGGACGAGGACCGGATCTCTGCCATGCAGGGCATCTTCCGGAAGACCAGGACGCTGAGCAGCGAGGAGAGCTGAGCTGGGCCGCCTGGTCTTGGCCGCCCATTCACGGCCGCCCCACAGACTGCACCACACCACGGGAGGTCCCGGGGCATCCGGGAGAAGGAATGGGCTTCTCATGGGGGGTGGTGGAGGGATTTTGTCCCCAGGAGTGGCCTCTGAGAGTCTTTCAGTGCCTGGCGAGGCAGGGCAGGCCTCCTGGAGCACCTCGTCCCGGGGCGAGGGCCTGAGGCAGGTGCCACGCTTTCCACGTGCTGCCTGTTGACCCAGCCACGTGGTGTTGACAAGAAAGCTGCATTGGCTGAGACCTGGGGCTGAGCGCCTGGCCCTGCCTGCGCCCTGTGCCGTTCCTTGGTGATGAAATGCTGTATATTTGGTCTTGAATAAATGAATGTGCGGGGTGTACGCAGCAGAAAAGATGCTCTCCACTTCCAGTATATCTGTGTGGAAACATTTCCCCTAGAGGTAGAAGAGGCCCACGTGCGGATGGATAATTTTGAGTCTTCTCCGTTCTCTGCGAATGACCCCCCGTCCCCAGGCATCCCCACCTCCTACCTTGTTCTTAGAGCAAACTCAGGCCGGCAGAGGGGGCACACAGCCATGAGCCCGCCCGCCCAGCACTAGTCCCATCTGCGCCTTCTCGTCCCTGGGGAAGTGGCCCCGATATGGTTTGGGTCCGTGTCTCCATCTCACGCCAAATTATACTCCCCAGTGTTGGGAGGGGTGAGTGGGAGGTGACGGGATCACGGGTGGACTCTCCCTTGCCTGACCCCGCGACAGTGAGGACCCTCCCTTGCTGTTCCGGCGATAGTGGGGACCCTCCCTGGCTGTCCCTGGGATAGGACCCTCCCTGGCCGACCCCGCGACAGTGAGGACCCTCCCTTGCTGTTCCGGCGATAGTGAGCTCTTGTGAGACCTGGTTGTCTGAGAGTGCGCCCCACCTTCCTCTTCAGCCTCTTTCCTCCTCCCAGCACATGAGACGCCTCCTTCCCCGTCACCTTCCACCATGATTGTCAGTTTCCTGAGCCTCCCAGCCGGGCTTCCTGTACGGCCTACGGACTGAGTCAATCAAACCCTGTTATTCATTACCCAGTCTCAGGTGGTGGTTTACAGCCCTACGAGAACCTACTAATATATCCCCCATCTCTGAGGTAAGGAGTCCTCTCCTGGCGTCCGCTGCCACCCGTGTCTGTCCTTACCACTCTGTGCCCCACCCCCCCACATTCTCTCGTCAGCCACACAGCCTGCCTGCAGCCCTGTGACCTGCATGGGTCCTGCCCATTGGACATTTCCTGTTCTTCAGCTCTGGCCTCTCAGGGGCATTTACCCCTCAATGCCTGCCCTAGGCTCTCGTAGGGGACCTGCCATTCATGCAGCAGCAGCTCCACGGAGCCTCCTTGAAAGGGATCTCTGGCCATCTGCAGAGGAAGCACACACTGACAACAGGAGATGCCCAGGCCCCTTGAAGGCCTCAAGATCCAGGGCCTGAGCCAACGCCCATGGGAGGGGACACGACATGCCACGCTCCTCCCCCACTAGAGTGGGGGCTAGTGGAAGACAGAATCTTGGTTCACATCTGATTCATTATGGATCTGAAGGGCCAGGCCCACGCTGTGGCCATTCCCTTTGTGGCATTTGATTGTGAAGCAGGATGGCTGCACGCAGCAGGAGTAAGAGCTGTAACCGCAGGGAGGGCCAAGGGGAAGCCTGGGTTGAAATCATTTCCGTGACCAAGCCAACCCAGCAAAACATAGCACCTCCCGGTACACTGACAGAAGGCAGTGCCACCTTCAGAGGCTTTAATTCCCCAGTATGGCCCAGCAGAAGTCAGGTGGAGTATGGTGAACTGGCAGTGGATCACATGAACCTGACCAGGTTGTAACCCGCAGTCCAGGTGCCACACTAGACATGGTGTCCTTAGTAAACAGGACAGCCGGGCCTCTGGAACTCGTATGTGGCCACGGGCCTGGGAAATGCATTGTTTCCAATCCCCGTCAGAGGGGAGGCTCAGACACAGTTTGCGTTCACTTGGAAGAGATAACAGTGCGAGTCCCCGGTCTGGCCGAGGCCGATGTGAGCTCTCTTTTCTGTCACATGTAGGCCTACTGGGCCTTCATCCCCTGCATGCTCTGTGGGCTATTCTGCTGGTTCACTGTACTTGATGCCATCGTGCACATTAGAACTGGAGAGGATTGACTGGAAAGTTATTTGGACGCCTTGTAGACACATTCATTCTAGAGGGTGGGAGGCAAACCTTACTGTCTCAAGGTCTGGCCCACAGATGAAGACTTTAGAGGCCCAGTAGCCTGGGGCATGCTGAGACGTTGCTTCCAAGGTAAAGGAGAAGTCTTCATACCTTGCCCACCTGCTGCGAAGAACAAGCTTGGTGCTGGGTAGGCCTCACTGGATTTTGGAGGCTGCATGCACCTCCCTTGAGAACGTCCACTTGCCGGGGGACTTGGACGGCTGTTGGTTCTGAGTGGGGCCAGGACACAGCGGGTTCTTGAGCAGATTCATGCTACGATACCACCATGGTGTGAATGGCATCTGTGGTAGAAAAGGGGCACCAAAGCCCAAAATAGGAGGTGAAGTCCCGAAACAAGAGCATGCTGTCTGCAGCAGAGAAGTGCTGCTGTTGAGAAGCAGCATTGGGCGTGATACTGGGCTCCTGGCCACGAGATACCAGGTAACTATGTGGCCTGAGCTGCCCACCACGAGCTGAATGTTACGGGGTCCTAACTTTGGGGTGGCAGTGGTGGTGCAGCAGCAATCCATTGTGCACGGACATGCACGGCAGGCAGGGTGGGTGGAAGCAAGTCAGTCACATGAACAGTGGCCTGGGTCACCCTGTCATCACCTGCGTGCACCTGTGCGTTTCTTTTAGCCTCACACATACGGCCTTGAAAGGGTTCCCTGGGACTAGATGACTGAGGAGGAAATCTAGAGCCTGGCTCATGGATACGATGTCTTGGTCTTCGGTGCAAACCAAAATGGACTCCCCCAACTCAGGGTTCCTAGAAGGCGGTGGTGAGGGAAAATCCTCCGCATGAGCAGAGCATCCAGAGCTAGAAACTGTTCGTCTATTTTGTGTGGAGAGACAAGTGGCCCAAGGAAAGGAAACACACGAACGTTAAGACAGGGAGTGTGACCAGAGGGAAGGGGTGACATTCCGCAACGATAAAAAAATCAATTCATCAAGAAGGTGTAACAATCCTAACAACGGACCTTCGAAAGTTGTGAAGACAAATGCATGGAGTGAAAGGGAGCAGGAGACAAGACCATCTCCACACTGGGAGACCGGAGCACCCCACTCCCGGTACTTCATAGAAAAAGCAGGTGAAAACCCCAGTAATACAAGGAAGACTTGAATAACACTGTCATCCAAGCGGACCTTGGGATATTTTAGAAGCTACACCTGACCGTGGTGGAAGACACGTTCACAAGTGTCCGTGGATAGTCACCAGGACCGCTGCTAGTTTATAAAACAGAATCTCAATACATTTTCAAAACGCTAAAACCCACATACAGTATGAGCTCTGACTGCAACAGATAAATTAGAAAGAAAAAACAAACAGGCATTTAGAATAACCACCAAATGTCTGATAATGACACAATATAAGTCTGAATAGTCTGTGGTTCAAGGAAGAAGTCACAAGGGGAATTATAAAATATTTTGACCTGAGTGATAACAAAAACATCGTCTATCAAAATTTGGGAGATGCAGTGAAGAAAGCGCTCAGAGGGATGCTAGCTTTCAATGCTCATGCTTGGAAAACAGATGTTTTAAACCCATTAAGCTTGTACCGTAGGAAGCTAGGAAAAGAGGAGCAAATTAAAACCAAGGGAGGAAAAATAAAAGGAACAATAACAGGAACATGGAAATCAACAGAAAACAAACAATTGCGAAAACGATGGTAAATGTTGCTTTTTTGGAGAGATTAATAAAATCGGGAACCCCCTAGCAAGACTGATCAATGGGAAAAAAAAGAGAAAATGTAATTACCAGTAACAGGAACGACACAGGGAAGTCACCTGAGAGCCCATCCCATAAGCATTAAGGATAATAAAGGGACATTACAGATGATTTGATGCCAACACATTTAACAACTTAGATGGAAGCAAGCACGCCCTGGGTCACACATTATCAAAACGGGCACGAAGAGAGAGACAAATATCTAAAGAACTGTCCATTAAAAAATTAGAATTCATTTAAAAAAATCCTTCCCATAAAGAAAGCTCCTGTCCCACAAGGCTTCACTGGATAATTCTACCAGAATATAAGGAAAAAATAGTCCCTATTCTAGACAAACTTAACTGGTAAATAAAGGAAAAAACCATTTTACAAGACGAGTGGAACCCTGCTATCAAAACCTGACAAAGATATTAATGAGAAAATAAGAGGCCAGTCAATGAAACAGCACATCCGCAGAATAAAGAAACATAACTTTATGATCGCCTCGCCATCGGCAGAAAAGGTAGTTGACAACAGACGACAGCTGTTCGTGATAAAAGCTCTCGCACAGCAGGAGGGAGACAGGTGGGACTTCCTGCCTCCGACGCGGGGCAGCTGCAGAAACCCGACTGCCTGACGCCAACGTTAAACACGTCTCCCAGGTGGGAAGGCTCGGCTCGCCACGGGCTCCAGCTCTATGTTTGTGGCCTGTGTCTGCTCTGTGAAGCAAGGAAAAATAACTTAAAGGCAGAAGAAGTAAAACTCTCATTAGTCACAGGGAGTTTGACTATCTACTTAGAAAACTCAAAGGAATCTACAAAAAAGTTACTAGACCTTGTGAATTTAGCAAGGTCAGAGATGCAAGATTAATACAGAAAAACATGGTACTTCATATTAAAAATGAACAACTGTGCAGGGCACGGTGGCTCACGCCTGTAGTCCCAGCACTTTGGGAGGCCAAGGCGGGTGGATCACGGGGTCAGGGGATCGAGACCATCCCGGCCAACATGGTGAAACCCTGTCTCTTCTAAAAAAAATACAAAAATTAGCCGGGCGTGGTGGTTTGTGCCTGTGGTCCTAGCTGCTCGGGAGGCTGAGGGAGGAGAATTGCTTGAACCTGGGAGGCGGAGGTTACAGTGAGTCGAGATGGCGCCACTGCACTCCGGCCTGCTGACAGAGCGGGACTCTGTCTCTGTAAATACATAAATAAATAAACAAAATAAAATAAACAATTGGAAATAAAATTTTTCAAATGCCATGTATAATGGCATCAAAAATATCAGACACCTAGGAATAAATCTAGCAGAAGACCTGCACCCAAGCGGGCTGTCTCCAGGAGGCCCCACTTGGAGGGACAGGGCCTCGGTGGGGCTGGGGACGCTGCCCGGTCCTGCCTCCTGGGCTGGGTCCGTGGTTTTCCTTGAAGAACCCCCTCCCACTTGGCTGTACATTAAAAACTAGAAAC